AGGAAGAAGCATCCCCGAATAATATGCTCGAGAAACTTCGGCTCTCATGGGACATGCATCGCACCGCACAAGGCCAACACACAAGCTAAACTCCAACTCCTACTGAGCCAACCGTGTCAACGTATAGGCGCGCAGTTGCCCATGGAATATAAGGAGGAGAACCAACGCTCGTCTTCAACTCTCACAGAAGAGTCAGTTCTTTAGCTAAAGAACTTAAACACAACACTCGGATTCATTCCTAGGCATGGTGGTCGCTGCGTGTGGTCTATCTATCAATGTAGGAAGATCCATAGAAATGCTCTCCGGCGTACTCGAAGGACTATGAAACGTAAAATATAGCTGAGGAGCATGAGCCGTGGGTTGAGAAGAAGAAGACTACACCAAATCATCAGTTTCATTAAACTAGGCACTTATTGGAATGAGTGCTTTGGACATCCCGGCATATGTGCCCCTACTGGACCCGTTTTGAATCTTGCTCAGCCAACCAGAAGATACCCCAAGATACGCGCCATGGGCGTATCTTCATGTCGAGCGAGCAAGATCCAAATTAGGTCTAATGATGTTGTGCATGATGACTCGAAACCATCAGGCGATAGGCAGCCCTATAAATCATTCGATATACATAGTCACTTTAGTCGAGGAAAGTATCACCGCCCTGCTTTCTCTACGGGCTCTGACACGAGTGCAGTGATCTTCCCCGTTGGACACTTTCTCGATCAGCTTCAGCATAGCAAAGATTCTATCTAAGCCTGCAGACAGCGAATAGAGGGTGAGTACTTTCTTGACAGACATTGCAGCCTCAATTCCAACGTACAAGCGGTACCCTATGTCCCACGGAGTAACTCCGTCAACGCGTTGGCGCGCAGTTGTTCCATAACTCATGGGCTATGCTGTAGGGCGGAGAACCAATGCTAGTCCCAAACTCACATAAGAGAATGAGTTATTCCACTGAAGGACTCGAACGCAATACTTAGATCTGTTACAAGGCACGGCACAGCATTTTTCGCTGCGAGTAGCCTACCTATCAATGCAGGAAGATCCATAGAAATGCGCTCCGGCATACTCGAAGGACAATGAAGCGTAGACTGTTAGTGAGGGACATGAGCTGTAGGCTACAAAGGAAGAAACTACACTGAGTAATCTGTTTCAGAAAACTAGGCACTTACTGGAATGAGTCCTTTGGACATACCGGCATATGTGCCCCTACTGGACCCGTTTTGAATCTTGCTCAGTCAGCCAGAAGATACCCCAAGATACGCGCCATGGTCGTATCTTCAGGTCGAGCGTGCAAGATTCAAATCAGGCCTGGTGATGGTGTACACGATGACTCAGAACTATCAAACGACAGGCAGCTCTCTAAGTCATTCGATATACATAGTCATATCCGCCCCGGCTCCTCCACCCTCACTAGCATGATGGTAGTGGTATCTCCAGTTGGACGCTATATCGATGAGCTACAGCATAGCAGAGATTCTATATGAGCCTGCAGACAGTGAATAGGTGTTCGCCGTGTAGTCAGATTCATCGTCATGCTTTCGCCGCCCGCTCCCATATGACTGCAGTGGTCTTCCCAGTTGAACGATGATTTGATTGACCACTGCACAGGTGATATCCGATGCGAGCCAATGCCGGCTCGCTTCCAATCGTCCGGAGTGTTCTTCCCGAGTTTCGATGCAACGTTACAGCCTATATTGAGCTATCTCCATGTGATCAACAGATTGAATCCCGCTCGCTATGATTGACATGATGGCTGATGTCAACGGGAGCTGATGCCGACGAAGGACGTGTTCTCGTTATGCCAGTTTGAAATATGACGTCCAAAATATCTTCAAAGGTGTGATCGACCTTTTCGCTTCGGAGAGTTCAAATGATCTTCTGGCATCATCACAAAGGGCTTCTATGTGTGTAGAAATTAGTCATGGCGAGGATATGGTGATTAAACTCTTCGGCGTTATCCTCACATGATTGCCGACTTTGTACCATGCTCCAGATTCATGCTAGGCGCTTGTCTCGAGTGGTCGTGATGCTTGCAAGTGTTGACAAGCATATATCTTCAACCTTTTCACCAAGCAAGCTGCACTGAGGCTAAGCGTGGTTGTGTATGTTTTTGACTCGTCGACGACGTTTCACGTTGAATGCAGGTTATGCCATTCTCCGACTTGCCGACAAGTGGATATGTCTTCCGTCACTCACGTGGCTGCTCTACTTGGTGTGCGGCATTTGACAGGGCAAGAACACAACAGAGCACATACGCTGGAATTCAAGTTCGGCAGTAAACCAGCTGCATAACTTGTTTCCATGGGTGGACTTTTTCAGATCAATTCAAGGCGTCGGAGCAAGGCTGACATGCTTGATGCGAGTCAAATATTTGTGGAGCTCCTGAGATAGCTCAACACATATATCGAACGAGCAATCTTGCCGATTGGAAGATATCACAGCTTCGATCGTCTTCCGTACTTCCCAGTTTATCTTCTTTCTGCATCAGTCAAGCGCCTGCATTCAACAGTAATCATGACCAAATCATTGCATTCGGACTATGAAAGTTCTCCTTGCCTCTAAAAAGTAATTTCCGATTCTGCCTCCTCCCCACACAGTGCCACACTTCCATTGACATCAATATAGAACGCCACTAGCAACCAGATGTTCTCAGCATCGCTGACTAACACTTGTAGCAAGAAGCTCAAGGAGTCGATGGCCGGCCACTTCCCTCTCTTAGCTAATTAAAATACTCAACGCCTGTGATGATGATAATACACACTGAATATAGCGATGGAATACAGGCAGAAGTTGAAGCCAGTAGAGCAGCAGCCGCTTTGTTCTTCCGCTTATAGAGTGTTGCTGGCCACCCCCCACATAAGGGCTTCCAACATTTTTATATACCACCCTCGACTCGACACACTTATATTTTATCGGCCAACGCTGAAGCAGGGATGAAGACCGTGAACATGTCAATGAGAAAAGGTTGGACAAACTTACGATCTATCTGCGGCATCGGACTTATCTTGTTAGACTCCGATTCCCCTTTGGGTGATGACTCATCGTCTAGCTCAATCTCGCTCACGCATTCTCCGCCAGAGTCCGTTGGAGCCTCGCCACCCGGAGAGGCAACTGCACGTAACAGAGCATTTGAGGACAGCCTCTGCAGACGAGCGAGAGTAAGGTAGCGGCACTACCTAGATCCGGACGGGGGTCGAAAGGAAGAGCATCCCTATCCTCCTGATGCTCAACCATCGATCGTATCATACTTGAACAGTCGAGAACCTAATGATCGACTATGTCTTGCAAGCAGTACTGTTGCGTACGATCTCATCTAGCGGACCGAATCCATGCACTCGGCACCCAGCATCACCAACTAGGATGCACTTTTTGGATGCTACATACACCAGTGAGGTGAGAGGGCATAGATACCTATGCGAGATGGTGAATGCCATGCGACTTAGTAGCAGTACTCGTCATAGTTCTCATCATCCATCCTCCGCTGGAAGTCGGCAAGCGACTCGAAATGCCGAAGAAGGATAATCTGCAGCCTCGAGTCCGCTGCGCGCCCTGCAAAGGATATGCGGAGTGGCAAAGGTCTCTGACTCGATTCCAACCGCCAGCATTATTACTAACGAGTTGCCGCAAGACAATACTGCCATCCGTGCCACCCAACACCATCAGCGCCACAGGCTTCTCCACCTCGCTTGTAGTGGCGGCTCCCGCAGCTTGAATCTCCCCTGAGCTCCCACTCGGTGATGCAGAAGACTTGGCATGATGCTGAAGCCAGATACCGCACTCACAATGATGCAGTCATGTCTACGCCAACTGAATACAGCTCTATCGTCCGCTACCTTTTTCCCTCTCTTCTTATGACTCCTCTTCTTAGGAGTTTCCTCAGGAGAAGCAGTAGAAGCGCCAGCAGCAGTACTGTCCTCTCCTGGTCCATGCACTATCTCCTCACTGCCGTCATCATCATTATCAGACTCGTCTGCTTGAGGGGTCCTTGCGTTATCCTGGTTACTGCTCCTTGTGAGAGGGAGCTCCATCTTAACGTCCAACTGGACCACAGCAAACGCCGATAGTGGCGCACCACACGTCATGATCGAGGTAGGATACCTAAACCGTAACGACGATAACCATCATGGACACGGAGCGTCAACTGATAGTTACAAACCGACACAGGATCATCACGGGACGCTATGGGCATATACCACAAACATCCAAGACTTCAAAAAAATGCCAGAAGCACAATAATGAGATGAGCGACTAACACTCTGAGAATCAAGCTCATCCCGTCTCGCAACGACGAATCCAAATGGTAGTTTGGAGGACACACTGAAGCGACGACCTAACCCTTACACATGCTCAATAGTCCTGTCTTCCCTTCGCCATAATACCACAGTATGATGGGCAGCCAGAGTGAATACCACATCGAGCATGTAGCAGTAATTGATACAGGTGATGGCATCGTGACTACCACTCATAGCACTTTGGGATGATGCAGATTGTGGATGCCCACTGGCACTCCTGTCCTCACTACTCTCAACAGAAGGCAATGACGATGGTGAACTAAGACAAGATACTCATATGCACTCACAATAATCGTCTATGGCTGAGGACATCTAGCGTAAGCAGAGCATGAGGATGAACATCCAACTCACGTAAAGGTATCCACTTTATTGAATTCTTTGTCCAAGACCATAATCCCACCGTTCTCTAGACCAACCCATACCTCCTCGTGGAGGTAGCATATGGCCGTCGCAGCAGGGCACGACTTACCACCCGACGGTCCTGAGGATAAGTCCACCAATACCTCAGATTACTGCAACGACTCTAGTCAAGAAGTCGCCAGGCCAACCCCAGACTACCTTCCTCTTCTCCAACACTAGGGAGAGTGAGAGTGACGACTCCCGATGGTGCAGGGCTATCCAGGGAATTGAAGACATACAGCAGTCCCGAGGTAGACCCTACAGCAACTCCCATGCACTACTTAGAGCAACGTAACATACCAGCAACAACCGCTGTTCGATCCACGCCTTCGTCCTCTCCAGCCGGCATCACAGTCATACACGTTATCCCATCAAGCAATGCCTCAACACTCACTGAGCGCCCTTCCGACGGTGCGGTGAAATATGTATGAATAACAGTCTTCTGTTGAGGAGCGAAGATCTGACAGTTCATATGATGCTATATCGGCAGATTCGTTGATCGATCACCTCGATCAGATTCCGTTCCTGGCATCCCAGATAAATCACCGGATTCCCCGCTATGAGTCCTTGCGCGCCACAGGTGAATGATTGACCTAAAAGCTGAGGTCATCGCTCAGAACGGCGAAGCCACGCTCGAACATGCTGCTACTGTGGCTACTGCTACAATGACCGTCATCATCTACTACCTTCTCGAGGAGTATGTGAGTACTCTAACTTCCCTTTCTTGAACTCCGAATCCAATGAATACAACTCGAGCACTAAATGAATACCACATGCACCATTCTCACCGGGTTGTGTTGATATTATCACTCACCACTGGGCGTTAGCGAGTACGCCATCTCCTCCCCGTCTATAGTGAGGATGCCCGAGAACAGCACCGGCCCACGCTTTCCTAACCGATGCAATGCCGTTACTCACTACGGAAGCTAGCATTGTTATACAAGTCGGATAATAGACAGCGAATTAGAAAATGAACTTTTCTTCGGAGAAGACCATACCCTCATACCAGTTCGCTTATCTCCAAACTCTAATTGTATCTCCAATGCTGCACGGGACTGGCTCGTTGACCACAAGGACTCTCGAAAAGACGACAGCCACTTGAACATGCTAGATGATGAAAAACTATCCTCGAGCATCACAACAACCTATCCCTCGTAACCACTTAACACAATACAACGTGAGCCAAGTCAATAGTAACTAGCCTTACTCTCTTCCTCCACTCAATAGCACCACACACAGCAGCAAGAGGCAGCATCCAAGATACCAACCCTCTACTGGGCACGAGTGCATAATGAGGTGGAAGAGCAAGCATCAGTGAGGAAGAAAATCGGACGGCCGAAGAGTGATGAAACTATACACCATCTAATAGTGTGTTCATCTACTCCCTGTCGTCTTAACAGTATCAACGTAGTGAAACAGGAATCGGAAGCGGGCCTTATGGCCACACACTTTCATCACTACGACGACTCTGGTGGAATCCACTCCAACTCTAGCTTAGTATCTGATGAGAATGAAAACGATAATGACATAGTCGTGGAGCTACAATAGAATTACTCCTTATGAATGTTCATGGCCTTAGCGGCGAACCTGTCAGGAGTCCTGATATCGTACAAGCAGCAAGAGCCGATCCATACCACGGTGAACACGATGATGCTGAGATAAGAGATGAGGTGCTATACGAGGCCATCAGAGGCTGGGAGAACTTACGTGACAAATGTACCAGCAAGGAAGGTAGGGGTCACAACACGCTTCATCCAGCCCGACTTGGCGAGAGCCACCTGCGTGACCTCTTGGATGACCTACCATGAGAAATGAGTAACAGATGACACAAGGCGGAGGGAATGCGATATACCTCCTCATGCTTCTTCTCCTCTTCCTGCTGCTTACTCAACAGAGGCTTAGCCTGATCGAACTGCTCAGCGGAGGCAGCAGCGACTGGAACGGCTACTTCCTAGCAGAGGAGTCTGGTAACGAGGGATAAAGGAAGCATTGCACTTACGGAAGCCATAGACTGTTCCTGGCCGAACACAGCAAGGACGGCAACGAGGCAGAAAACGAACAAAGCATTGAACGAACGCATTGGTAGTAGTTACTGGTGGAGAGGAGCTCTACGAGCAGGAGAAAAAACTCAACTAACAACTGAGTAGCAGATCCAACCTGAGGTACACCAAGGCAACACAATCTCTTCAGACGCTCCCATTCCACAACAGCGAAAAAAATCTCAAGTGTTCACAGTATATTCAATGTCAGCAGTGTGATATGGGAAACACATCGGAAGTGCTGATGATGACAATGTGCTAAGAATGGTGATGGTCATAGTGTGACGCTAACGATGACGGTGAGACAAGCAAGTCGCTGACTAATATACTACAGTACTCAACGATTATCTCTGTTGAGGAATTGCCAGAATGCAAGATTCCACACATCATAGAACGTCGTCGTTGAGCAGACCCAAGGATAATAACCTCCGCATTTAGCTCCAGGTAACCTTGGGTAGAGGTTCTCCACTCTCCTCAGCTTCCATTATCATCTCCCAAAGAGGCGACAACTCACGAAGGTATGTCACTTGTTCGATGACCTTGGCTATCGCATTATCAACCTCTTCATCCGTGGTGAAGCGGCCAATACCGAACCTGTCACACAATGAACAGCATACCATCAAAACATGAACCCTGGTGACACCTTACCTAAGGCTCGTATGTGCAAGATCATCACCAACACCGATCGCTCGAAGGACATAGCTAGGCTCAAGGCTGGCACTAGTACATGCCGAGCCGCTAGATACACAGAGATCCTTACTAAGGGCCATCAACAGAGACTCTCCCTCTACAGCAGAGAAAGAGAGATTAACATTACCGAAATACCTAGAAGGGAGTAGTGATGATAAGACGACGATCCCCTTCGTACCTCTCTTTCTCACTTCCGTTGAGTATGACCTTAGGTAGGTGTCCTCTGATACCATCCAGAAGCTTTCGAGCTAACCTCGACACATGCTCCTTATCCCTGTCCATCTCCTTCTGACATATCTCACAGGCAGCACCAAACCCCACCACATTAGGAGTAGCTAAAGTACCAGAACGGAGACCACGCTCCTGACCACCACCATCAATGATAGGGCGCATACGTACACGAGGATGACGACGTCTAACGTAGAGGGCCCCGACCCCTTTAGGGCCATAGACCTTATGTCCAGAGATACTCATCAAGTCGATGTTCATATCATTCACGTCCAACGGAATCTTACCGACAGCTTGTGCGCAGTCTGTATGGAAGTAGACACCGTGCTTCCTGCAAACCTCGCCAATCTTCTTAAGTGGTTGCTCAACGCCTATCTCGTTGTTCACAGCCATAACACTGACTAGAACAGTCTCGCCAGGCCTGATGGCCTCCTCGAGCTGTTTGAGGTTGATCAAACCGTCATGGTCAACCGGCAGATATGTAACTTCAACATCGTCATTCTGTTCTGCCAATGCACGAGCACTAGCCAATACACACTTATGCTCAATTTGAGTAGTGATCACGTGTTTCTTGCCGGTCTTAGTCCTGAGAGAAAGAAACTCATTCGTCTGCACTAGTAGTAGAAGAGAGCAATCGTACTTGGCGTAGTTAGTGACACCTTTCAAAGCCAGGTTGTTGGACTCAGTAGCACCACTAGTGAATATGATCTCCTTAGGGTTGGCACCGATCAGACTGGCCACTTGTCCTCTGGCGTGTTCACAGGCATCATCAGCCTCCCAACCATAGGCGTGACTCCGACTGTGAGGGTTGCCGTACCTGTTCATATCGACGAGTCGGAACCGTTCAAGTGGATGAACTACACTTACATATTGCAGAAGTACGGCAACATCGCATCAAGGACGCGAGGGTCCATAACAGTGGTAGCACCATTATCAAAATACGCCTGAGTGAAAGTACATCACATATACCTAACATGGACCTAATCCGTATCATGCACGCTCGACCTCTAGATACGCCTTACGACTCTCAACAACGCCACTTCTATAGTAACACCCTATCACGAGACAAGTCTCTGAGCAACTCAGCGCATGATGACTTTCCTAAGCTCTACCAAACCCGAGCTGAACTGCGACAACCCACCAACCTACTGGTCGCTTATATTCGATATCTTCCACTTGATCTGCCTTAGTGGCGAAGGCTCTGCCGCAACGACTCAGGACGGCCACTTGAGCCCTGCTAGCCAAGGTTAGAGCGCTCCGAGAGCATGACAGCATTTTGGGTAAAGCTGTATACGCTGAGTGCCACTGACGGCGGCGCGGTAAAAATGCATGAAACTAATTGACCTAACTGCAAGAAAATGTTAAACATGATTGGGTATCAAGTTGAGCAAATTTGTGACAGGCAAATATTGGCAATGATGATGGCTACTGTTGATTAACCAGTCGCCTATCAATATGTAATACTGAAGGAGAATTCAGCGGCTTGGCCAGCGACAAGTTTCGTTTTAAGAGCGTCTCATGGTAGGACACAACAAACATTGGTGGAACCAGGCATCGTGTAGGGTATAACATTACTCTCTATACCGTGTGTGAGTTGATCATAAACACATTAGAAACATCACAAGTGGGAATCCATGAGGCAACAATACACTGTGATGGCGTTCAAGTTCAGTGCCCGAAACCGCTGGTATTGTGAGCATGTCCTCTTCCAACTCCTCCAGACGGGCCTCCAAGTCCATGAGCACGTCTAGGCTCAGCGGTACATCAACCTCATCATCATCTAGGAAGATATCTGGTCGATCTCTCTCCACTAAAAAGAGCCAAGTAGACCCCAACTGCCGTAGTTATCCTTATGGTTGGGGTATTTCTCAGTCGGTCTCATCGGGAAGGCCAAGCTCGGCTAGCAGTGACTGGTACAGTGACACTGTTGACTGTCCTTTTCTTGGTGACTACCCTCTGAGTAGGGCACGAAGCACAGGCTTCCTCCCTCAAATAGGTAATGGTCTCCTCCTCTTTATGGTGGTAGTAGTGGTCGTCGGCTTTTCGTCAGGGTGCTACCCCCTCACTGGCATTCCTGGGTACACAGGATACGTACCAAGGAAGGGGCCAGAGAACGTCATCGGTGCTACCTTTCGACGCGCTAATGAATTGGCGCTTTATAGAGACTCTCGACGACCGGCGTATGTTACAGATGACCACTTCCTGCCACTTTGCCTCTCATCGTCATCAACTATGCAATGGAGGAGGAACCCGGGAGGCCTAGGCGGCCGGCTGGGAGCCGATGTGCCTGGGTAAGACTCTTTTGAGGTCGATGGTGACGGCTCATCGTAGATACGGTGGGTATATACCCGGAAAGTACAGTGACAACGTATTCGGGCAAGTGTTTGCCCAAGCCAATAGAAAAGCCCGGACAATCAAGTTACAACAGGCTATGGAGAGGAACGAGGCTCAGCAGAGGCTTATGAATGGATAATGGAGGGCAGATAGTAGTGTAGGCAATGTGCCGCCGCTGCCATATCACTGCTATCTCTTGTAGGTGTCGATCATGCGTGCTCGGATATAGCATCGAGTCTATCAGGGTATGGAGGATGTGCATGCACATTTAATGTTACTGTCACAAGGGTGTTCACAACGCTAATGTGTTGCGTTGGAGTAAAGAGTGGGCGGCGTCTGGTCTGGGCTAGCCTTGTTGGAGTTGGGTAAATTCGGTAATCTATTCAAGTTGTATACTGTCGGGGTCGACTTATTCAGTGACACCTACTTAAACTCGGTGACACTTCTTAACCGGGAGATGGTGTAGAACTATCTCCTAAACGATGTGCTGAGTTTCTAGTTCAAATCATTAATCTTCTCGTCATTCTGTCGAGCGACATAACTCGATACCGCATAGTGGATAATATGCGCGGCTTGCACCGGCACTTGCTGGATATATACCGTATTAATTGACAATCATCTTGCCGTTCGGAATGTACTCCTGGGTCCTTCGCCCTCTTGGTCGGTCTCGGTTGAAGTTTCTACCGTATGCGGTAGGTGCGCTCTGACCGCCCTGATGGATGATCCCATACGTGTCTGAGTATACGTCGTCCGCTTGTGTTTCGCAGGGAGAATCTCAGTGGTATCGAGCTGGCTTGTTTCTCCATTTTTATCTTTGATGGGCTGGTGACTAGATCCAGACCACATTCTGGTCTAGTGCTCAGGCTCAGCGAGGATATTTTTCTGGTCATTCTGCGCGCACCTTGAAAAATGGCCTATAGTTGTGCATATGAGTCTGGTGATGGAAACGAAGTGGTATCAGCAGTGAGAATTCTGGATTCTGGTTTTGTTCTATACAGTAATATGATAGAATATGAACGGCAACAAGGTTTAATGATCAGTTAATAATAATCATACTAATAGTTATTTATTATAGTGATATCACCCACTATGGATAGGAATCCTGATAGTAATCATAAGAAGTCGAGAAAAAACAGTTCGAAAGGAAGAAGGGAAGTTGCGAAGCGGATGGTGAGTCGTGCCATATTTTGTTTGTCTACGCGAACTATGTAGTTCAGTATGAAGATAAGAACAAGCTACAGGAAGACCTAGATGACTTGAAGGTTGAGGTCATCAGATTGCGGACGGTCTGCGAAGAGGATCGTCATAATTTATTAGAGCAACTGCTCTATATGCCGGGAGGTACGGTTTCCTTCGATAGGCACTTAATTGATGCCGATACAGCATTGTACAGTTTGCTGATAGATGGAAACTTACAGACTGTGATACTGAGTATCACACTACGGCTCCCGTTCTTCGAGTTCAGCTTGGACCAGTTGTAGTTGACGCCTTGACCACGAGGAAGATAGCTTATCGTAGATCATTTGCTGAAGCTTTTCACTCCTTATCAGACCCGATATACGAATTGCCTTCAGTTGATGAATTGATCAATGTCACTCAAGTGCAACCCCTCCAATGGAAGCCTCAGATACGTCGAGGACGAACGCAGACACAGCAGTCTTTTGATGAGCAACAAAGAACTCTTCGTGTGGGTATAGACGCTATATATCGACTCAGATCAGGGGAGTTTGCATTCGTACCCGCCCCTATTTTATTGGACCTCCAGGTAGCGGAAAATCATTCATTACCGCTCATTGGGGTGCTTGTGCTTTGGCAAAGGGTTTCAGTGCCATTGTAACTAGCGTGGCAAGTGAACGAGCTGCAGCACTTGGAGGTGAACATATTCATCTGGTTTTCCCATACCTGTAGCCCAAAACCTCTCGAGTCGTACTTTAGCTGAGAGAGCTCTCACTAGATTAGTCCGAGATACAATCAAGACGCATAGCCTGCTTTCTCTGCCGAATTTAGTTTGTGTTTATCTCGTTTATTATTATCGACTCGTGGATTGATGAATACGGACGAATCGGTGTAATCGGTTGTGCTTAGCTTGATAATACTCTTTTCCCCTAATATGAGCATCTCTTCTCTAGATCTAGCGAAGGATACCGAGTTTGTCGAAAACTTCACCGAAGTACACCTCGCCAATGTTCCTGACGATGGCTATGCTGTCAGACCTAACAGGGAGCGAAGAATCAAGCTCTTCGCCAAGTTACTCCACTGCAAACGAGCTGATGCTTCGGGTCTTTTCCGGTTCACCAAGGCCAACGATAAGAAGTATGGTCCTAGGGTTCCAACAGAGACCCCATACGATCGATGGTTGTTGATGATGGAGATCAGCACATCAACCACTTTTGTGATAATATCACGTGATCCAAGCAGCACTAGTGTTCTACTGCATTATAACGAGTGTATTACATTGGGTGGTCTCGTGGCGCTGTTATAGTGTAGAGGCTGTGGAGAACTTGAAAATGGCACCCGAATCCGAGGAGTACCTAATCCTTTGGTGCCGATAACAATTGCTAATCTACCCGAGTTCGGTCTTAGATCAGCGGAGATCACTACGCGATTCAAGTCTTTTTTTGTCACCGGTTGCCAGATTGATGTTGTTAACCTCGGCATCATACGTGCAACCTGTCCTAGACTTCTCTGTGATGGTCAAATGTCAACGAAGGCATGTCCTTGCACTGCAGTGTTGCCTAAAAATGCCTGGACGTTGAGGATGACCATCAATTGTGACCACCTTGGAAGTAGCGTTGAGATTGACGTATGTGGCCATAACCTAACATCGTGGTTTGCAAAGCCGGCTGTTCGGGTGAGTAAGTATCGAGTGAGCATCAAATTATGTCTTCCAATCGTCTCCTTGGATTTCACTAGGCATCGTTATCATATAGGCCGATGCTGGTTTGATAGAACCATTTGGGATACGGGAAGCAGCAGTACCGCTTGTGGAGTATATCAATGGTCGTAATGGGTGGTCTCTCACGGGATGGTGTAAACCATCCCGCATAGGAGATGGGGAAACTTCAGTTAGTAAATCAATAATACATGTGACGAGATTGGAGCCAGCCTCAATTGACGAGGAAACAGCGCTATGGCTCGATGAACACAAGTACCTAGTCATCAGATGTTGACTGTGCAGATTGGAACAGTTAGTTCGTAGGTATGATTTTCCACGGCCGGCGCCAATACGTGCAGGCCCACCTCCTTTTGTCGGGCAGTATGCTCGTGACCGACTCAATGTAAGTGCGTCGCTTGTTTCCCGCTCTCCTTCGTAAGTACGACCGTAGTCTACGGTCCGTAGATTTGTTTGTTTTATCTTGTGTTCCAGAATCGTCGGGATGCTGATCGCAACCAAGGCTTACAAGTTGTAAGTTACAACATCAAAGAGGACAGAATAATGCTCAAGGCGGCCCAGGCAATGGTGGTCAGGGCGGCCGAGGCAACGATGGTCAGGGCGGCCAAGGCAACGATGGTCAGGGCGGCCAAGGCAACTGTGATCGGGACCAAGGCAACGTTAGTCATGGCCAAAGGCACAGGGGTCAAGGCAACAACCCTCAAGGAGATAGCCTAGACCGCCAGCTCGGTACCAGTGGTCAGCATCGTGTTCAGGATAGCGATGGATTAGGTGGCGAACAGGCTGATGGCGGGCGTCGTTCTGGTCAGTGCCATGATGATGAAGAGGGCAAGGGGAATGATGACGACGATGGGCCAGCATCCAAGCGGGGGAGACTTGAAGGTACTAACTTTTTCCTTCGTATTGTCATAGCCTTTTCTCCCTCTGATTGTGCTCCACCGAGTCTAGAATCTAGACTCTAGCAAGGAAGTATCAAGTGAATGATGAGATCTCTCGCTTTCAGATAAAAAAGCCAACACAGCCGGAGCCGGAGCATCTGGCAATCAGGTGAGTTGTTCTGAACTACTCAACACCACTCGATCAACAGTGTGAACTAGTTGTTCACTCTATTCATCGAGCGGTGTTGAGCGGTTTTGTCAGGCGGCTGCCAATGGGCGCGCAGCAGAACCACCATCGTTGCTTGCCGCTGCCTTTGCCGCATTGAATTGAAAGAGGTGCTCATGTTATAATGTGTGTTTCTGGATGTGTGCTCCACCCTTGCTGATCTAAAGGGGGAGAATCAGAGGTTGGTAATTCACATATAGACCTGTCCTTGAATGTATTTGCTGTAGATTGCGGGAGTCTCTCTTAATGAAAGATAAGAAAATTAATTGGAAATCTATGTAAAGGTATTCGGGCAGTGTTGTAAAGTATTTTCGTTTTCCTCAGTTGAGCTCGGTAGTTTTCTTACTAATTCTAGGGGTTTGTATACGAATCTGAGTTGTCATTTTAAGTCTTCAGAAACCAACGAGATGGTACCAAAACATTCCCTGAGATGAGGTTTTCCTTGCAAAGGGGAAGGGTGTGTTGAAATCTAAAGACTATACGCAATAGTCTCGACCACGAGGCCGAATGAGAATGATCAATCATTGCTCATAGTAGACAGCCTCTAAATTTGTGCTTACGGATGGACGGACGTTCGCCCACGAATAACCGCAAACTGCATCATAAGTTCCACTTCTGTTTCCTATTTCTTAATTTCTTTTTTTTCTGTTAGTATTTTCTCCTAATTTCAATTTTCTGAGGGAAATCTATAGTAGAACATGTAGATTTTCCCATACTGTACTCAATAGCTCAAGCAGTTGATCGTTAATCAGTATAGTCCTGGTCAGGGCTCAGCGAGCAGGAGGGAGTTGGAAAAGAGTTGGGTAGAAAGCAGTGAGTGAGTATTATGAGTACTACATTAGGAGGGGTCCTCGAATCATATATCTCCACTCAGACTCAAGGATTCTGTAGTCACATTGCAGGGACAAGTAAAGGAGAGAGGGGAAGAAATCAATTACCAGTGATACTAGATGAGGAGAAGTCCCGTGAATCATACGTTCCCATTCAGACTCACGAATACCAATGATAGCAGTAGCGAGGGCAGCTGTTCACCGCGAAGCGTGAGGCGGCCTCATCCGAGAAACGGAAGCGTGTACTCTCCAGGCTCTGTCCATCCCAGTCAGCAAGCACTACCCTTCCATCTGCTAAGAAACGTTTCCTCACTAAGCTCCCACCAGCTCAGTCTGTGAACAGTTCGCATCAATTAACCGTCATCGTCCACAACACTCACATCTCGAAGATGGAATCAAACGGAACTCCAGTTGGAGGAATAGCAACCACTCGAGTGTTTACAAAACTGTCTCCCTCCGGTCACCGAAATATCTGCACTTCATCATCTGGAAGCAGCGCGGCAGTTGTCAGTTGGAGGCGAGAATTGTATACTACTGCTGCAACTGGGAGGGTCGACCGCAAATTCAATAAGTTACCATCCGTGCCAAAACCATGGTATCTTATAGTTTTCATACGACCCGAATGTGTTGGTTTAAGTCTGTTAATCTACTACATTTCTTTACAAAAAAGTGTTGTTCATCCGTTAGTGCGGCGTTTTTGTTTTTGCTATTGGCCTCCCTTCACCTACCCTCCCCTTCACCTGCTAGGCTGGCCCCAGCGAGGCATTAAGAGAACCACCTCCTAGCGGTATCGCACAGGCAGCTTTGCACCAGTTCTACTGAGTCGCGGCTTCAAACGGTTCCGGTTCCTCTGATGACTCGGCGTGGTGTGAGGTCTATGTCTTCTATTGTACTCCGTCGGAAGCTGTGGGCGGCCAAAAGGAGAGTTGGTAGGCGTCTCCACCGGTTCTTCAATACCCTCTATGATACGTCTACTTATCCCATTTTCGATCGAAACGACGCCACTACGACTTCTACTGTTCCTACAACCATCCACCATGACGAGATTCGCATCCTTCAAGTTAATGTCCGGGGCATACGGAAAAACCTTCCCCTTCTACAAGGGCGTGCTCTCTCCTCTAAGGCGTCGCTTGTTGTTGCTTGCGAAACGATGATAGACGACTCAGTTGAAAGTGGCTCTCTCTCTTTGCCCGGCTATTCTCTGGTTACCCGTAGGGATCGTACTTCTCATGGTGGTGGTCTCCTAGTCTGGGGTAAATCAGTCCTAAACGTTACTGAAGTCGACTGTGATTCTACGGCGGAATGTTGCTGGGTGCTCGTGGCAACTGTCATCGGTAACATCTGCATCCTATGCGCCTATCGTCCTCCTAACACTACTCATGTCGAACATTATCTTAGGAGATCCTTTCATAAGGTCACGGTTTTTAATCCTATTTGCGTTCTGGCCGTTGGTGACTTCAACAAGCACTCCTTGGATAGCCTCTTCTCGACTACTCGAAGTCTGGGTCTTTCGCAAATCGTCCGTGAGCCGACTCATATACACGGTGGTACTCTTGATATGGTCTTCACCAACTCTGATACCCACTGTATTAAGGCCAAAGTTGATCCTATTGAGGCTCGTATCTCGGACCACTCGTGTGTTGTCACCACTATTCCTATCACACTGACGACGGACTCATCCCGGACCACGCGACCTGGCTGGGACTTTAGGGTAGCTGATTGGCCTAAGTTCCGTACCTATGCTTGCTGTAAGTTGAGGAGAAATCTTTTCTCTAATGGTTCTCCCGATAATGCTGTTGAGCACCTTCAAGCAGTACTCCGCGCTGGTCTACGCAACTTCGTCAAAGAGGTTCACATACCTACCTACCAAAACTCGGTTCCATGGTGGGACGAGACCTGTACAAGCGCTTTTGCCTCTCTGCTGAGAGCCTCTTCTACCGATTCTCGAGATTCTGCTCTTCAGCTCATAGAAGCTAAGCGGTCTGGTTACTGTGACTCTGTTCGCTCTAAGCTCGTTGGTGGTCGACTTTCGTGTAAGCAGTTTCATCGTCTCGCTAAAGAACTCTCGCTGAGCACCAAAGCTAAGTCTTGCGCTATTCCCCCTTTGGAACTGAGCCCTGGTGTTCTCACTACTGACGATGCGGCTAAAGCCGAAGCGCTGGCGAAGCATTTCGAATCAAAGATGATACTTCCCCCCGTGTCCGCCCCCTTCAAACTTGGTGATAGGATCGCTGACGCACAATCCATCACAACCTTACGCGTTGACCCTTGTGATGTTAGGAGTGTTCTTGAACGACTGAATGTCTCTAAAGCTGCAGGTCCTTCCTGTATCGGCCCTAGGGTTTATCGTGAATTGGCTGGTGTTCTAGCCCTCCCTCTCTCAAGACTCTACAACAACATCCTCCAAAAGGGTCTATGGCCAAGGGCTTGGAAGACCTCCAACATTTGCCCCATCTACAAGCGGAAATCCAAGCGTGATGTTCGCAACTACCGTC